AAATGATATTTGTTAGTGATTGGGCTGTATTTGCTCTGACTTGCTGATTTATGAACTAAAACTGCTTTTAATATTCAATATTGGCTCACCTAAAAATGATTTAAAAGTAGAGATACATAACAAAGACAAAGAGCAATGGCAGTGGGGATCTCTTAACCTGTTCTCTTCGCTCACTACATTATTCTTCCTCTGAGTGTGTTCAGAACTACAGTAACTGATTTTCTTAAGATGTGAGCACATGATTTTACATGTAACTCTTGGTATCTGTCATTTGTGAAGGAAGAAAATGCTGAGATTTTAGCGGGGTAGTTGCAGTGTTTTTCACTGATGAAGGTGATGTACTTCTCTGGAGTATGGTAACTTACTTTTTCTCAGTAGGATAAAGGTGTTCAAGATCAAATTGCAACTTTAATTTAAATATATGAATTCCTGGGGGATAGGACTGCAAGACTTCTTTCAAGATCTTATAGCACCCTGTAGTAACTGAAAGATCCACTTAATCTGACTTTGGTTTATGTATTTTACAAACGTAAGCTGTTAGAGGGCTAAGAATCATTAGCCAAACTTGTTAATGTGTTTATTAGAGGGTATGTTTGAGGTCCCTGAGATGGTACTCTCCTCAGTTTCTGAAGTCATGTTCACTCACGTTATCCTTATGAGATTAGGTTCCCTGTTAGCTAATGAGTAGCAACTCTTGGAATTTTTGTTTTCATTCCATTCAATACAAAGCTGTACAGTCAGACTGCCTTCTCCTCTTACAGATTGTATTTGTAAGTTCGTGCCTGAACATGATTTTCAGGGAGAGTAGAGTATGAGCGAGCTCTCAGCTTTTCTGTGATGCATCTCATCTACTAGGGCTGGGGAGAAGTCCAAAGTAGATAACAATTGCATACAGCACCATTTTTGTATTTAAATGTCAGCACTAATCCAAACAAAAGCATATGGGCATTGTTGAATTAGGTCCTGAAACTATATTTTGAGATAAAATCCATCTAACCTTTGCATGTATCAAAGAAAGAAAATAGACAGGCTAACCTGGCAGTATAATGGAACTCTTGCAGTTTAATGATGCACAAAAGCAAGGCAGACAGGTTTTGGAGCAAATTTCCAGATAATTTTGGCATATTCAATCCTATTTTTTCTTGAGTTTTACTTAAAAATTAATCTGCACTATCCTTTTAAGGATACTAGTCGGGATGTTAGCGAGTTTGGTAAGCAGACTTCATGAAAATTTGTAGAAGCTGTGTATCTGTGCCAAGGCACCTTATCCTTTCCCTCCTCCCTGCAACTCAGGCAATTTTATTATTATTATTTTTTTTATTTTTAAATCAGTGTAGCTGAAGAGCCGGAGAGGCTGGAAGTATTAACACGTTTAGCATTTAGAAGAAAGCAACAGTGTGTAGCATGAATGCTTGCTTGGGTGGGTTTTTTTGTTTGTTTGTTTGTTTGTAGGCAGAAAACTATTTTAGCTAAGAATATTAATTCCAATATTTTATTATTCCTGTTTCTAGGACTCAGATAGGGTTTTTATTAGCTTTTTGCTCCATCCTTCAAGAGAATAAAAACTGAGATGCTCTAGTGGCTTCTAAACCCTTGATTGGCCAAGGTTAGCCTTATGGTGAGTCCTTCCTGTAATTAATAAAGTGCAGGTATCTCATACCTATTAAATGACCCCCTTTTATCTCCCATCCCTTAGCCAGTTCCTCCTTTCCTACAATTTCCTTTCTGAGATGGCTTTAATTTTTCCTGCCAATTTTCCTGTTTCCCTGGGATGCTCTATAACAACCAAACTTGTTCTTGTAGGTCTGGTTTAAAATTCTGCTTTCCATTACAGCTTAAAGATGTAAAGCTTAGGGTGCAGCACTGTTTTGATCCTGTGTCTGAGGTGTGAGCAGCACTGTGCCGCAGAAATGCCAAAGTCATCAAAGCTTTACCGCTACCTGTCTTCATGGAATCTTTGCTCAGTATTTTATTTTCATTTCTGCTTTCAGTGAATATTTAGTGAGCTCTGATTATATAATTGAATTTGATAAACTAATGGTATGTGATTGATGAGGAAGTCAGGAATAACAGATTAGAAGATAAAATTACTTCAAGGGTTTAAGTAAATCTTCCAGAGAGCTGGGGTAATTTATAAAGCATGCTATATTCTTTATAAAAATATTCCCATAGGTCTATTAAATTTTAGCTTCTACCAGCATTGGATTGAATTTTGAGAATCATTTTCATATAATACCAGCTTGATTGTGATATTTTAAATGGGAGATAACTCTGAGTGGGTTGTAGCATCACTGCATTTGGGATATTTGAGTAGGAAATGTAGGGCTGAATGACAGACTTGTGGGCAGCAGTCTTTGTCTTTCAAATAAATCATTTGTTCTTGGAAAGACATAAGTTAGAAGGAATAAGTGGATAATTCAGAGTGAAATAATGAAGTAAGTTATACTGCTTGAGTCTTTAAATCACTGAAAAACAGGATCAACAAATTACTCGGGTAGAGGTTTATAGTGCAGATACCAGTTTCGTTGTAATCTCCCCGAATGGCTCAACTTTCTTCAGGAAGGAATAGTTTAAGAAGCTCATTTCATGAGCCTCTATGTACTAGCAGGTAAATGTCATTGTTTTCAGGGGACTCAGCACTAATAATTTCAATTTACTGATTGGACTCTGTTACAACCCCTTCCCTTAAATACAAGCACAACTCCCCGCCACTGCCTTTTCATCTCCAGAGGAAGCCTGACACCTTTAATCTTGCAAGAGTAGAATGTCTTTCTCATAACTCTTTTGGGAGACTCCCCAAAATACATGTGAAGCCTCTGACAGGATTTAACATTTCTTCACTTGATTAGAAATATCTTTGTTAAAAGTTGCTTTTTGCTCTCGGGAAAATAACTGTGTTTCACACTAACATTGTCTAAATTCTTAAATTTTTCTTTTTAAAGTTTTAAAATATCGGTTGATTTTTACTAGTTAGGAGAAAATAGGAATTGAGATAAGACTTCTTCACAATCATTGAAACAACAAAAAAAGAAGCTTCGCAGAATATAATCTCAGTCATGTAATAGAGTGGAGAAGTGCAAAAAACATCTTTGGTTTGCCTAAGTTTTGAACTGTTCCTATTTTCTCATATGTTGAATTGTCATAGCTTCCTGTATATCCAATTTAAAGAAAATATTACTGATCTGCACTAGCCATTAATTAATTTGTTTGAAAAACAAATTGTTTAAAATGCTACAAATCAGAACAGGTCTTACCTCAAAATACATTTTTTAAATTCAGTTTGTTAGTTCAGGTTTTCTGTTTATAAGAATTGCCTTAAGATGATGTGCTTTTTTCCTGCAGAAATAACTGTAACTTTCTGAAGTTAAATTCTACAGACTAGGGAGACAATTTGTCAATACAAATCATCAAATGTGTATGCAGCTGATGTTCAACTTTATAGCCAATTGTAGCAAATAGTTTGGCAACAGGCAACCTGTGACCCCTTGACCACAGTCAGCTGAAGCGCAGCTGCTACCCTGGGACTGTACGACTAGGCCGATAATGAGTCTGTGTTGCCATGTGGTCTGCTAAGTAATAAAAATTCCCTGATAAGAGGCAAGGCGAAAGATAAGGGCTTAGAGAGGTTGACATCACCAGGCCGAGCTGCATACCTGACTGCCATCCCAATCTTCAGTGGAACGGTAGGGCACCTTGAAAGCCACTGACACCCCTTGCCTTGAGCTCCTTCTTCCCTAATGTGTGTGGTTGCTGTCTTATGGCTATCAACTATTAAAGATTATAGTATGTGACCTGTGGATTCAAAAATTTCAGACAGCCTTGAATAGTATGTGAGGTCACTTCCCCATAAACTGTAAAAGATAGCTTAAACTCTTTAAATAGCAAATATAAAAATACCTGAGCTTAATCTAAAATAAGTTTTAAAAGAAAGATTAGCAATTTAACTGAACGACTAGTTGCACTGGGACAACATTTGTGTATCTTTTTTTCTTTTTTGTATTAAATACACACACACACACACACACTGCGCTCCTAAAAAGCAGAGTGCAGTAACGTCTACCTATTAAATATTATTCCATATTTTGTATTAAATCTCTGACCTTGAATGTAACTTGTTTATTTTTTATATATATATAAGCATGTTAATTTTGATTATAGAAGGTATTTGTAAACTTCTAAGATCAAGTCTGTAGTTCCTACATAGTTACAAGTAGAAATTTGACACGTAAAGTGTGAAAACCTTCATCTTCCAGAGGTGACAAGGAGTGGGTCTCCAGCAGGTGTAGACTTGTAATAAATCTGTGTTTGAGTGGAGCTTTGGCGATTTACCAGTCGAGAATTTTGCTGCTTGGAGTATTTTGAGCATTTGTGATCCACGGGAGAACAACAGTTTGAGACTACCTGTGACCCTTGAACATTATTGAAGTACCCTAATTCAAAATCTGTTAGTGGTTTCAGGTAATATAATTTAACACATTTTGGTTGGCATTAATCTTGCGATTTTGTGAGGTGTTTTTTTCTAAACTCTTTTTTCTATCAAAATTCTTCATTTACCCTGAGACTTCTCCTGCTGTGATAATCATTTCTATCCAAGATTACTCTTCTGGTTTCTATTCAGGAAATAGGAAAAAAAGCTTTGAATGGATTTAATCCTCACAGAGGAAAGGGGAAAAAAAAAATGCCATAGGGCTGTTCACTCCCTGCCACAGTAGACAATGCTGAAATTCTCATATGTATAAACAGTAAACACGGACAAAAGCTTGTCTGAGTGGGCACTTCTCTTCTAAATAAGTACCAAGGACTAAGGTTATCAAGATCTTGTGAATTCTGCCTCTAAAGATAAAGCTTAGTTATGAATATAACAGTGTAAGCCTTCACTACTGAATCATGTTGTCTCTCGTGTTACAATGGCCATTTTGAGAAGAAATGAGCTAAATATCAGTGGCTTATACTATACTCGCTTAAATAGCTTACAAAACCATTTTCTCTCTGTATTTCAGATGATGTTGCACCATACTTCAAGACTGAACCAGGCTTGCCCCAGATACACTTGGAAGGAAATCGACTCGTACTTACGTGCCTTGCCGAAGGCAGCTGGCCCTTGGAATTTAAGTGGTTACGCAATGACAGTGAAATAACCGCCTACTCCAGTGAATATAAGTAAATAAAAGCTATATCATAGCCTTCTCTAAGTGTAATTGCAAAAAAACCCCAAAACAAACACCCGCCCCCCCCAAATTCCCAATACCTCAAAACAGCTTTGTGGATACTGATACATTGACAATGTTTTTTATCATGAAAGAAGACTGGGTTTTGTAAACAAATAAGATCTCTTTGAGACAATCTCCTTTGCTAAAAATGGTATTTCACACTTCAAAACAAGGGTCCTAACATAGAATTTTTAAGTCCCAAAAATACTTTTTGTTGGAGATGTAACCTTACATGTCTTTGTAATAAATAGCAAGCATATTCCTTGCTAAATGTTACATATGATGTGCTACTTATCCAACAAAGCTAAGCTCAATGGGTCTATTCTTTTCAATAAGATCTAGAAGAATGTGGTCTATCTTAAATTGCATATGAAACTTTCAGTTTCACTTCTGAGAATGCGAAAATGAATTTTATAGTTTAACAAACTGTTCTTCTATGATTATGCACTTTGCTCCCAGGACCTCACTGACTCCCTCTTCATTCCACAAGACATCCCATCAAGCAAGAGAAAAAATGTACTGTGGCTAATCAGAGCTACATTTTTGCTCATAGGCAGCAGATGGCTGGCCAAGTATCAAAGTGTAAAACAGCCAAGTTTTGTCTTCTTTTCTTTAAAGGGAACATTAACTGGGTCTCCCCTATGCAACTGGCAATTTCTATAACCTTATAAAAATTTAATATTTATGCAACTTATTTGTTGCTTTCAAATTTTGTCGAAATTACCTAGTGAATTCAGAAGTTATAAGGGGTGGATATGTGACAGAGCCCTTGTATAACACTTCTATCTTTAGCAAATCAAGCTAAATGCTGCACTTTTGTAATTGCATTGCTTAAGATAGGGAAAAGTTGTGCTCCATCACTGTAGACAGAAATTACAGTATAGATTAGTATAAAAATGCAGATAAGGATATAAAGTTCTATATTGTTACACAAGGCAGTTCATAATTACTTTTCTCAAAGATTTTCAAAATTGTAACCTAACATTATTTCTATTTTCAATATTATTAACATTTACAGAGCAGAAGGGAAAAAAGTCCCTTAAATAACGTTTTAAAACTTTTTTGGGTCATTTAGCACATAAAGTATTTAACAACTATGTTTCCAATCAAACATATAGTTCTATGTGAACTTTCCTAGAAATTAAAGACTTGATTTAGATGAGACCACTTAGTCCTGAGTGATTGCATCTATTAATTCTTTCTGTTTTCAAGCCTTGAGATACGCTGATACCTCAAAATGAGCCATAAGCACATATAGAAGAGATTTGTGAATACTTTCTAGAAAATAAAAAAATCTCTAAATAGCAGAATTAATCACAGAAGGTTTGAGTATGACTTTGTGTAAATGCCACTTGTTTTGATCAACACCAGCAGAGTCAGTTGTAGTTTCTTGGTAGAAGGAGCTGACAACAGCTCTTAACCGTGTAAGATGCTGAGAAAGTAAGACAAAGAAATGGTGTGGGAGGACAAAACACATGAACATGGAATCAACAAAAAGCAAAGGTTAGCACTCAAGCTTTGTAGATGTGCTAGTCACTGAGAGACTTACATTTCATGATACTAGGAGAAACCTGAATAAGAACGTGTGACATTTTGAAACTAAGATCAGAGTGGCGTGGTATTCTTAAATAAGTGCACATCCTAATACAAAATTGTAATTTTACTGTGTATTGCAGTATAAGTTAGAATCAGTGTATTGGAACACCTTTTCCAAGCTGTTCATATACATACCTGTATACACTACCTTGTTTCTTATCATTGGACTTAATTTAGTCTAGTGAATGTCAGGTCATGATATGAGCTATATTTATTAATTTTGCATTTTTTATATTGTTCTTGTTTTTATTTCTAAGTAAAACATATGCTGCAGAGGTGATTAAGAAGATAGGAAGCTACTGGTTTATGATAATAAAATAACATTGATAGAAAATATTAATTTAGAAGTTGCAGCCTTACTACTACTATATACCACAGTCAGAGATAAGCCAAACAGGATTTTGATTCTATAGAAATGCAAAGCTTTAAGCTTCTAAAAAGGATTATATGGCATAGGTGCATTAGGATGAATGAAAGTAAGGAAAATATATGCTTAGATATAAAAATTCCAGTTGCAAAATTTAAACTTTGACCCCATGATAGTTTGCTCTGCAGTTCTCTTGGGTAAATACTCTGTTTAAATGCATGAATCTTTCCTGCCTAAGTGACTTCTGCTGCAATTTGAATCATCAATCAAAGATTTTTGGTAATTGATGTTATTTAGTGTGTCTCAGTTAAAGTAAAGTCTATATTGTAACAGGCTGAAAATATTCAAAGCTTATTATAACACACCAAGTGAGTAAAGAACTAATTGGAGTCTTTGCATTTTGACATTGGTGACCCTGAATGAACAGCTTTTCTTTGTATAAGGGTGCTGATTATGTGCACAGCCTGGCTTTTACAGTGACTGTGCATACACTAGTTTGTATTAAGAATTTATAAAACAACCTTGTAAATTCTTTGTGATCTGAGATACACGTAATGAAAACAAATCCATATTGCTGACTGCAGTAGCAATTTTGGTTATGTCTATAAGTTCAGAGTCTTTAAAGTTCAGGCAGCGACTTTTTTCTTTCTTTTTTTTTTCTTTGTTTTCTTTTGAATTAAGTTCTGGACCAGGTGTGTCTTCCGTGTTTGCTTTTGTGGCCTGAAGATATTAATTTATTTGAATTTAAGAAGCTAAGATTATGTCTAAGCAGCAGTACACTTTCCTTCCAAACTACTTAAAAGTATCTGATTATTATATTTGTGTTTTTAACATTGGACATGTTTTCATTTTATTCCATAGGAAAAAAGTTAGTTCTGTTGATGCGTAAGTCCCTTGTTGAAAAGTTTGACTAGATAATAAGATAATATGACTATCTAATAAAATATGTTTAGTTTTAATTCTGTCTTCATAATTATGGCTATTAAAAACCTGTAGCCTGTAGGTTCACTTTTAACTCTTAGAGCATTTAAAATTAAAATGAGGGAGTAAATTTGAATTAGGAATGAAACGTAAGCATTAGCTGGCATTTCTCCTTAGGTGTTTGACACCACTTCATGCTTAACTCATTGCAATCCTGGTGATGGAGCATGTTATGCTCTGGAAGACTTCCCTTGAAGCTTTCTTTTATGCTTGTCGCTTTACATCTTTCTGTGGAAACTTTCTAAACAGCCAGTTTCTGGTTAGCTGTACCATTCAAAACAGAGAAACTGTCTGGTCTGACTTTCTAAAGTACTTGCACAGATCCCCAGAAACCTTAAGTAGCCTCCTGGCATCTGTACAATGGGAAGATCTTCTATCTTGAAAGCTAGACTGTAGACAAAATTAAAGCAAAATTATGTCTTGTCACTGTAAAAGATTATATTAATCTTTGATATAAATTCATTCCATGGAAGAAAGTCTTATTTTGAATTTAGAAAGCACTGTTTGTATCCCTTCTTGCATACCAGAAAATAAGTAGAATGGTGAAAGCGTAGCACAGAAAGCAGTATTTTGACTGTTAGGTCAATAGAAAAGTATATTTAAAAAAAATAATCAGACATATGAGGTGCATAAAGACTGTTTGAAATTGTAAACACAGAATTAGAAATTCCATTAATATCTGTTTATGTCTTGCCCAGGTTTGTAATTTTCAAGTTAGTTTCAAATAATGTAAACATATGTTGTATCTCTTTTTTTTTACTTTTGTTATTTAATTTTTCTAATTTTGCTTGCCTTACCTGCACATTGTTACCCAGTAGGTCCACTGAGAAGCCAACTGCTCAGTAGGTTTGGGCTGTCTTGGAATTTCCAAGGTAGATGGGATTTTCATTGTAAACTTTTAAAAAATTTTCTTTTCTCAGGCAACATATTTTCTGCTGAAACATTAATAAGTCAGAAAAGAAAACCAAAGCACGACACTTCTGATCTAATTGGTTTGTTTTGTCGTAGTGGCAGAAAAACTAACTCTGCATTACTGTCTTAGGACAGATGAATACCAAAGAAAGAAGCCTTTAATTTTGGCTCTATTTAATAGACAAGCACAGGAATAACTGTTAGCCAAGTACAATACTAAATTTTATGGGAGGAAGAAAAGCTTGTTAAGCTATAAACTATTTGGTAAAATGAACTGTAAAAGTGAATTGTCAATATTTATTTGTCAGAATCTTTAATTTTTCTTTTTTGGTAATGATGTTTTGCAACAATCATCTGCCTGGCAGAGAAGGAAAGTATTCTGTAAGGAACTAGGGAAGCCCTATGTCCTATTGGTTTCTGTCTTATGCCTTGTATTTTCACCTATTTTCTCACTCTATTTCCTATGGCATACTCATCAGGCAAGAGGCAACATGGTTAATTCAGAGTTATATACTCACTGGCCAGCAAGTATTTGTATGCTGATTGTTGGGTTTACTGTAACTCCCAAACAGAGCACTGTTTTAAGTCTTCCTTATCTTCCCAGTACAAATTGTCATCATCTCTGGAGAAAATTTGCCGGTTGCTCCAACGGAGGTCAGGAGGAGTCAGCTTAGGCACACAAGCAGACAGACAACAGAATTGCCTACAACTCGTATACTTCGGAAGCCAGGGTCTCCTAGGAATCACAGTAGATTGCTAAAATGTGTCCATGGTGTTGGGCTCTGTTTTAATTCACTGTATTTTGTAGTCTGACCTATTTGCTATAGTGTATTTGATTGTAATTATAATGCAGTGATTATACTCTTAATTTATCACTTAAACTAGATTTCTTCTACCTCCTTTGTCTTTGTGCTGTCTGATCCTGTTCAGATATTAAGCTCTCTACGTGAGTGTGTATGGTATGTGTGAGTACGAGAAGAGATGCTTTCCTTTAGTGGAATTAAATTTTGAAGATTAAAATTCAGCAGTTTTATTTTTCCTTATCTTTTCATAAAGACTTTCATTAATCCTACCATAATATCTCCAGAAGGTGACCGGGGGAGTATGTGCTTTGATTAATGTTTGTTTAATGCAGGATTATCTATATTATTCATGTGTTTTATTCACATTAAAACTGTGCCTATCAGCTCATTTTCATGTTGAGTAATCAGATATAGTTGAATGAGGAAGGTGAGCATTAGTGGACTGAGTGACTTTTTAAGTATAGTGAAGGACAGAACAAATACAATGTACAGTACGCTGTGTCTTTTCCAGTATTCTTCTGAGTTACAGTGGTCACACAGTGTAATAAACACCTTTTTTTTGCTGGAGAGCTTTGATATTTCTTGCAAGTCTTTCTAATGCCTACATTTAGATTGTAGTAGTCTTGTGCCACCTCTGAACAAAATACCACGCGTCTTTGCCTTATGAATGATGGTAGAAAAAACTAAGGAAAACATTTAAGTCTGTATTTCAAGAGAATTTTTGAAGAACTAATTAGTATTTATCAAATATAGATCTTATGACTGAAAGATATTTTATGTGTTTCAAGTATTTTTTTTCTTCTATATAGTACAGACAATATTGTAGCCAAAGAGCAGAAATTATATGAGAATGCTGGTTGTAAGGAAATAATACAATAAGCATTTGAGTCAACGTGTAAAATATTAGAGGAGATATAAGAAATGCCACATAAAGTAGCATTGATCTGCCTTTAGGAAGAAGTGCAATGTAATTCTGCATTTTGTCTTACAGGTATATCATCCCAGCTTTGCAGAGGTCTGATGCTGGCTTTTATCAGTGTGTTGTACGAAACAGGATGGGGACATTGCTGCAAAGAAGATCTGAAGTTCAAGTGGCATGTATGTTTGAATGGAAGTTATTCTGTGATTCTTTAGCTAACCGATTCTTTTTGTGAGTAAAAAACCAACATACCAATAACATTTGCTAGTCTGAAAAGTTATTAGATGTCATATTTAATAAATTTTAAAATTATTGCATCACAAGAAGTTTCACACTTAGTCTAGTTATCTTCTGGGAAACAGTTCAAAGCAATGCAACATTAAGTCTTTAGAGCAAGCATTGAGCCGTTCAAAGCCATCAAACTGAGATCATTTAGAGATAGCTGTAGCATGAGAAAACTTTTATACCTTTCCCTGAATACACAGGGATTAAGAAAGGCCATATAGCACAAAATAAACAATAAAACCAAAACAAAACAAGGCCAGAGGACTGGGGATATGTGAAAGAAAACCATATGGGGGAGATAGCTCCATGAGGATTTCAGGTCATAGTTCTTGCAATATAAAATAAGCAGTTGTTTCACAGCAAAAACCTTGCTAACCAAACTAAAAGTCTGTTCTCAACACCTTTCTGAACGAAACCCTCCAATGTTTGTACCTCTTCAGTTTGTACTATGCAGAATTTTTCAGAGTTGACCTCTAATTTGATATCTAACTTCCATTTGGAAATGTTAAATTGATTTTCTCAGGAGTTAGTGCTAGTTAATTAAGAAATGATCACATAGTCTAATTTTCTTTTTTTTTCAGTTAACATTCAGAAAATATAATCCAAGTAACTTGTTTGGAAATAATTATAAAATTAGGCTTTATTCTTTTTTCAAAGTAAAAACGTTTAAAAAATATATTAAAAAAGACAGATTTCTATACTGCATGTAAGCAGTCTGATACGTGGATCAAATTTCTCTTCCTCAGGGTCAATAACTGGAAATTCAGTAGTAGTAAATGTCACTTGATAAGTGGAATTTAGATAAATTGAATTATTTATTAGAAACCCAATTCCAAGGAACTGATTCAAGTTAATCACTATGTCATGAGGGAAATTACATGGAATTTCTATGTTTTAAAATAAAAACAGTTGCAAATGATACTGTGTAAGTTTTAGTATCATGTTCACCACTTTACTGTATTACAGTAAATTGTGTTACTATATCTGTAAGGTCAGGAATATTAGTAATTTGATGTTTGATCTCCCAGTGATATTGTTTCAGAGATGCTGGGAGCTAATGTAAAAATAAACTGCTGCTAAAATGGGTGTTTCTTTTTCTGCCTTCTACCAGCCCTTATGCCTCTGCTGTATACTCCTTCTAGTATTCTTGTGCTCACTCTGACGTGTGTCAGACCCTTGCAAGTACTTTTCTGAATATTTTTCTTCTGCTTTGTGAATTGTATCACAGGTCACAGAGGATCTAGTGAAAGCTGGTGCGAATGAGTGTAACTGAGTGTGGTGGGGTCCTGCAACAAGGTTAGGAGGAGAAGATGGAGCAGGGGAAGCTGAGGGTGAGATGCTTCTCATTCTGCAGCAGTGAGCCATTAGATTAGCCTAGATTCTCTGGAGTTGCATCTACAGGTGTGGTTTCAAGGGACAAAGGCTTTGGTAGCAATACCAGAGAAACATACCCATTTTCTCCTCCATCTCGCTGATCGTTCCAGCTCTTGTATTGCAATGTAGCACACTATCCCTTTATTTTTGCAGGAAAACTCGTTTGTGCAGCTGTGGACTGGGAAACTTCTCCAAAATTTAAAAAAAAGCAACAATTATTGTGTAGGGTTTGTTAAAATAGTTCTTTCCCCCGCCGTCTGATTCCCTATGCAGCTGTACAGGCAGTTGTACTGGCATAGTGGAGAGAGCAATTCTTGAGGAAGTACTTGTGGGAATGATAGTGAGAAGGAGGCACAGAAATACTTTACCTTGATACTGCTGCTAAAGAATTTTGTCTCCTGAAAAGACAGCTTTATTCCCCTCTGAATGAGGGGAAGATTTGCAGTGAAGTGTTTTGTTTCTCCAGGATTTTTTGTGTGTGCATTTGGTTGTTCCTGAGAGAGAAAGAAGTATAATTGTTTAATTTTCTTCAGTTTTAATTTTTTTCCCCCATTTAATTTGTAGTTCTGCACTGCTGAACAAGGCTGAAAAGCTATCTCTTAAGACTTCTCTATCTGAATTAAGCAGTCTATTTATTTCATTATTTTCACTGATAAAGATATTGAGAGAAAGCAACGCAGATCTTACATGACTTGGGAGACCTTTGCTCTTGAACCTATGGTGATCTATATGGCTTCTATAGTGAAACTTGTCAGTCAGACTCGCACTTTATTCCCACAGATTAAAGTGTTCTACAAGTTTTAAATACCTTCTTTCTCCTCTACCCAGGGTAGCTACTAATACCATGTGATTGTCTTCTGTATTTTAATCTTTTCAATCTAAATTAATTGACTTAAGCTTTGTGGACATAATGAAGTACCTGGTATTTTACCATATTTTACTTTTTGGTTATTTTTGAAAACATATCGGAAAGCAACATTCCAAGGGGTTACTAAAGTCATCCCATCAGCAGGAGTTACAGGGAACTGTATGTTAGATGTTTAACTTGGAAGGGTTAACGGGAAATGAACTATTTTTGCTACTGCATAGAGGATGCTTCCCAATACACTTAAACTCAAGACCTCTAGTGAAAAATTGAAAGGCACAAGTATACCGTGCATTGAGAAAGATCTGAGGTATTTTCCATGTCCTAGATCTCTGAAGTAGCAGGGAACTTGTTAAATAATTTTAAAAATGTTCTCAACACATGCTAACATATTGCTTAACTGAATGGGAACAGATATTTGTGAGAAAACTGCTGAGTAAATCTTAATTACAGAATGGGCTTAAAAACTTCTGGATTGTGAAGACTAAAATAATCATATGACAGTGAAGTTAATTAGATCCACCTACGCGGTTTGAAACTTCTTTTCAAGTAGATGATCTGATTACAGTTGCAAGAAATATGGAGCAACAGAGGAATTACAATGCTGATTATGTCTGAATAAATAACTTGGAAATCACAAAGATGATTAAAGCTTCTTTAAAATACCATGTGTTTTTAATTTCTGCTCTTGTTCTGTCTCTTCTCATCTCCTGCGTGGTAGTAGTCGTCTATGTTTCAACGTCCTTTGCATCCCTCTCTGCACCAGAGAACTTGTAAAGAACCGTGTGGTCCTTTAAAAACAAACAAACAAACAAACCAAAACCAAAAAACAAAATGGAATTCAGTGGCAGAAACCAGAATAGTTCTCTGTGTGTGTCAGTTTCTTGGTTTAAAGCAAATTAAAATGCATGGAATTTCTTTGGAGGGTGAATAAGTAGGAGCCTACAGCCCTGTTTATTTTAATGGATAGGAATGTGATACAAAAGGCAAAAGAAAAACAAGAAGAAAACGTTCACTGAATTTTTACAAGGACTAAATCCATAGACACATGAACCTGTCTGTGAAATAAAACCTTCAGAGACAGAGGTTCTGCAATTGTAGTTTTCTTTCTTCCGTTAAAATTTTTGTTAAAAGCTAGTCTTTAATACTGCTGATGCCTTTGTAAATGTCAGAGATCTAGATGCACTCCTTAAATCGTAGTATAGTGCCAGAAGAACTAACAGCTACCAACATGTATAGCCTTGTTATTTTGATATCCATTTAGGTATAATGGCTTACTTGCATAGGTCTGACTATATATTGGTTTGACTACAAGTGATACAGCTGCTTGTCTATTTGAGTAGCTATGGATAAAAGGATAAAAAAAAATTGCTGACCAAAAAATTGATAAAATTATATACACCATTTGCATTGCTTTGCATTGCACAGGAATTTCGTATTGTGTAAGGATTTATTTTAAAAAACCAAAACAAACGACCACTAAAATGCTGCTTTCAGTTAAAAACACTCAGTTATTGCAAAAGAACACTGAGGCCATGCAGTACTGCTGACTGATGCACTTCTTATGTGCACTAGCAGGCAGCGCTTGGATATGCCTTATGCCTTATGCTCATCCAAATCTGTGTTAATCAAAACTGTCTCATGATGTGTAGTGTCATATTGACTAATTATAGCAATGCCAACGACTATTGTAAAACACTATTGGTTTTTCTCTATCTGCTGAAAAGAAATGGGGAGAGAGACGAGAACTTCCAGGAGTCTTACTATAATATTTTTCTTTGCAGATATGGGAAATTTCATGGACACAAACCAGAGAAAAACAGTGACTCAAGGACAAGCTGCAGTTCTAAACTTCCTACACATACTCAGCTATCCAAGACCACAAGTGACATGGTTTAGAGACGGGCACAAGATTATACCAAGCAGCAGAATGTAAGTCAATTTAAAGCTTAAAATACCCCCACCCTAAAATATGATTAATTACATTTGATAACACAACTTACATTTTAAGTACACTAATTAAGGTTTAAAGAGAGTAAAGTAGCCTTGTTCATACTAAGTTTGAGATAAATGACTATTTTAAGACCATCTCTGAACTTCCTAAGCAGTTTGACAAAATAATTCATGTGATTTTAATGGTCCTGTTGCAGCATAAGGGAGTAGATACGCAGAATGTCTGCACTTCCTTCACGCTATTCATTTTCATGATACATTTTGGAAAAGTAAATGCTCATCTCTCAATTACGTTTACTTGAGTGGACTAACTTAATGAATTTTAAGATTTTTCTTTTTTAATCTATGAGTCTGATTTTTTTTTTTACATGGAGTTATGCTTAATACTATTTTCCTCACGATAAAATTCTAAATACTGCTTATTTTTTCCTTATCTTTTTAGCCTACAATAACAGTTTTATTTCTTTTTGACTAATTAGCAGTTCACCCACTAATGGCACAGTACTTGCACTTTGATTAGTTATCTCAAGGTGTGTTCATTTATCCTTTCCTGAAACAGTTATGAAGCCATCCTGTGTTTTTACCTGCACAGTTTTATTTAGAGACTGAAGGGGTTAGCTGTTAACATTAAAAAAAATGTAGATAAAATCTTTTTTTACTTGCCTAATTTATTAAGAAACTGTTGAAATGCCAAGAATGCTGGTGGTTATTTTTATCTGTGTATTATATTTTCATGTGTTCAAAGGGATAGATGTGCTAGCAACTGATGGTAATGGGATATTGCTAAATTCCAGAAGGGGTGGTGAGTCTTTAGAGTTTATATTAGAAAAGGAAAACTCTTCTTGGATTTTAATTTCATTAATCCGTACTGTATATTTTACTGCTGTTTATGTGCATTTTTTAAAACCTGAAAGCTAGTATTACAGGCTCTTTGAAACTGTTAAAATTAGTATTGCAGGGATGTGAGGCAACTATGTAATAATTTAAGAATAATTTAATAGTAATTTGATGGGAAACAAGCTGGAAGATTAAACAATGGGTTTCTGGGCAATCTCTTGAAGAGAGCTAAATGACAAATCCTGAGTTATTAACCATTAAGAATCTACTTCCTCCACTCCTGCCACATTACAAATTTTCTTTTGTCAATGCTGAGAATACACAAATCAAAAAATTGCAGATGGTGAAAAAGCCTTCTTATCCAGGTATCAGACAGTTTCTTTGGAACTATTACTGGGGAACAGAACAGAGTGACCTAGGCAAGCGTGCAATGTCTGAAAATGAGGTTTGTGTGAGTTCTCTTACAGTTTGGGAAAATTGCAAGTAGAGATATGTGTGTCATGTATTCGTTAATATAAAATCCTACTTTTCATATGGTATGCTTTACTCTTACTCCTACCCTGTTGGGATTGTTAGGGTAAAATCAGTTGTAATTCATAGCACTGTGGTAATGCTTACAAATGGAAAACTGTAAAACTCTGTTCTATAGTAGGGGTCAAATATACCTAAAGGTTTCCACATATATTTTATTTCCCTGGTCAGTAATTTTGTCTGAAAGGAATTTGAGGACATTTTTCTGGCCTGAGTAGGAATTTCTGAATACTTTTGCAGTAGAAGTACATGTGCTGGAAGTGTGAACCTCCTTGGAAGTTCGACATATGTCATATAGTAAGCCTGATAAATTCAGGAAGTGACAGATTTGTGGTACACATACCAGTCATCAGTGCACTCTATGTGCAGTAGGTCTGCTGCTCCCTCAAAGTATTGGAAAAACCAAATAGCATCCACTCACATATTGCTGTCTGTGAAATTCTGGAAGTAAATATGGGAGCCCTAAAAATACAGGAAACCTGACACACGGAGAGGATGCATATAGAAATGTGGGAAATGTAAAAATATCTTATGGGAACTCTGTTTCTTATCTGTGGAGCAAGTTGTGCATTTAACATCATGTTTTCTGTACACAAAGAGATATATCAATTTAACAGATCAGTTTAACAGTTTATGCATCAATCTAACTGGATCACCTGCTAAACTGATCGGTTAAATTGATACAACCACCTTGTATGGATGCTCTTTAAACTGATTAAAAGTACCTTATATTGCTAAATCAATATAAAGCTTTTTTAATCCTCTTAAACAAGCTTACAGTGATTTGGCCAAATCAATCAGCTAGTCTGTCAGCTATAATAATGATTTCTAAGAGTGACATTGCTGCAGTGTATGCAGACTGAGGAAATAAGCAGTGCTAAAAATGAGGACAGTAGTGGTGGTTATGGCACCCAATAATTTCTCATCAGTGCCCATTGAATACAGATGAAGTTGGAATTGCCCAATATTTTATCTGTAGCAACTTTTAAGAAAACAATTCATTTAAATAGTTGGTCAAGTTAACTCTTACTCATGCAAAAGCCTTAATGTACACATACTTAACACTGCACCATTTTTATGCTAAAATAATAATCCTGATGCTTATTTACACAGCGCTACTGTCACCACTAGAATGAATTCATTTCACTGATGTGGAAACAGAGAGTGGGCTGAATTGTCCTTATGTGAGAAACATGAAAGATCAAAAATAAGTAGTAGTTCTGAGAAAAAAAAAAATTTAAAGATGTTTCAAGGACTGTCATTTAATTGGCTCTGCAGTAGGGTTTACTTAGCAAGTTTAAGGTAGTAAATGCTGATGTCTTTCTCTTTCACTGTTTACCGGTATTTAGGACATTTATGGGGAGATGTTCTGCCAGCTATTCAGCATTCCAAAGGTAGTGTATTTCTAGGGAGCCAAGATAACAGAATTTCTGAATTGTCAAAAAATTCTGGTATCACTATATGTTTTATTTTAAAGATACTTTACAATATGTCAGATAAGACTCTTATTTGTTCTTCGTGTTTTCTAATAATTATTTAGACACATTAACACAGTTGCCAGTTCTAACAGATCATAGAATCATAGAATAGTTTGGGTTGGAAGGGACCTTTAAAGGTCATCTAGTCCAACCCCCCTGCAATGAGCAGGGACGTCTTCAACTAGACCAGGTTGCTCAGAGCCCCGCCCAACCTGACCTTGAATGTTTCCAGGGATGGGGCATCTACCACCTCTCCAGGCAACCTGTGCCAGTGTTTCACCACCCTCATTGTAAAAAGTTTCTTCCTTATATCTAGTCTAAATCTACCCTCTTTTAGTTTAAAACCATTACCTCTTGTCCTATTGCAACAGGCCCTGCTAAAAATTCTGTCCCCATCTTTCTTATAAGCCACTTTAAAGTACTGAAAGGCTGCAATAAGGTCTGCCTGAAGCCTTCTCTTCTCCAGGCTTCTCTTCAACCCCAACTCTCTCAGCCTTTCCTCATAGCAGAGGCATTACATCCCCCTGATCATTTTCGTGGCCCTCCTCTGGACCCACTCCAACAGGTCCATGTCTCTCTTGTGCTGAGGGCTCCAGAACTGGACGCAGTACTGCAGGTGGGATCTCACCAGAGCGGATATTCCTGAATTCTGATGGCCAGGTGTAACAAACCTGTAATTTCCTGTTTCTCTTACTGATATTAGGCTGAAATGTGTCAATTGTTTAGGTTGGGGGAAAAAAAAAAGATTCAGTGGACAGCTTTTAGTCAGAAAGGTAATCCTACTCTGTGAGTGTGCATGGCTGTGATATTTTGTGAGAGAAAGTTTCATTTGAGACATAGGTAGTTTTTTTTCAAACTGCATATTCTGTTTTATTTAACTGGTAGTGTAACTCACGGTGGAATTTTGCAGCAAATAACTATGTATTAATTCCCATTTTAGTGGTGTTGGTGCCATAATATTTTGTTAAAGTCCCCGGATAAAAACAAGAATAGCATGACAAGTTCCTCATAAATGAGTGGGCATGTAAAGTCAACAAATCCCTGTATAATATATGAATGTGAAGCAAATGGCCTGCATATACTCATGGGATTGTTGTTATAGTTTATGACTTAAGGCAACTAACAAATCTGCAGCAGAGCTAGTGCCGCATGATGGTGTGTATTTAAAAATTGAAGTCCTAAAATTTTCTCCCCCCTGCTTAGTACAGTGTGCATGTATATTCATTTCGGCTTTTATGCATTACCTGTTACCAAAGCCTCAGCTTGATATTTTAAAGGGGTGTTTCTAGATCATCAGAAGGAAGCTGTGTACATGCTAGAAAGGTATGAAGTGGAGAATCAGAGAAGACCAAAAGATCGACAGCAAGAGAAAATAAGCAAGGAGAGGAATTAGGGTTTGGGATGTTTTTTTATTATTATCTTACATGAAAATTTCCCAAGAAGTTTTAGAAGAGACTTCACATTACACCGAGACAGATTAATGTTTTCCAAGCACACCAGTAGACTAATGTGGATTTATGACTGCACTATTATCCAGGGTCTTGACTGATGGGATGATTTCGCCTGTTTCCCCTCACATCTTACAGAAAACAATAGCCTCTCTAAAGGTAACTGCATAAAAAGAATTTGCTACTCTGAGATGTCAAGTCTTCAGCTTGCCTTGCCTGGATTTACTTCATCAGCTGTAAAAGCAGAACGCATATAACTTTCCTTACATGAGGCATGTGTAGTACCTTGGAGAGGCACAAAGGACAGTATAGAATCATAGAATCATTAAGGTT